ACTACTGCACTACTACTACTACTACTACTACTACTACTACTACTACTGCACGACTACTACTGCACTACTACTACTGCACTACTACTACTACTACTACTACTACTACTACTACTACTACTACTACTGCACTACTACTACTACTACTACTACTACTACTACTACTTCTACTTCTACCTCCCCTCCGCTGTGACCACAGAGCCGTAAAGCCGCGGAGCCTGATCCCTAAAGCTTTTTTGAAGCCAGTCCTTGCTTGTCGTCAAGCCATCTGTTTTCCAGAACTCTGAATCTTCAATCTTCAAGCCAAAGCACTAAGCCATGATCCCTGACCCAAAAACTCCAAACTGTGAGCCAGCGGGCTTTTGTCTCTGGATGTGCCCCCCATGGGTTCCGATACAGCCTGGTTGATGTCCTGGTTGCCGCCGCAATCATAGCCTACCTCTTCCTACTAGTCCCGGATCCTCTAACAATTTGTGAATAGTTGGCATCTGACGCCAGGTTTCGCCTGTGAACTTTGCTCACTGTGTTGGGCTGTTGGGGGACTTCCTTAAAGGAGTTGGCGCCCTGAATGGCTGAAGTTCATGGAAGTGTCCTCGCAAAAGCGCTTGGTTTTGCAAAGCATGCTTGCTCGCAAATGCAAGAGCGAATGCTTCAGCGAGGCAGTGCAGAGGTGTACACGGTGTTCACGTCTCCTGCGTTCCCAAAGTCGTCATGGAAAAGCCGGTGCTGAACTGGGTCGTGCACGCCTAGATATAAGATGCTCGTATTTACCTGCCTGCTTGAAACGATGTCAGCATCCAAGCTTTCTCCATCACTGGCCTGCATCATGTCTTGATGTGGGGAGTCTCCATCTGAACTGGCGCCGTGCGCGGCCAGCTTTCAAGCAATTTTCGAGCTCGAGGCAGGCAAAGAGATCAGTTCTGCAAAGGCACATTCTGTTTTCCTCTCAGGTTTGATTTGGCATGTGCCTCGATGCTGCCTCGCCTAAAGCCGAGTTATGCTCCAGAACACAGCTTGAACCACACGTCAGCAAGCAGATATGTCAGTGCAGACTAGGAGACGTGTTTGCACTGTAGATCTGCCAAGATGGCGGACCAAGATGGCAAAGATACCCGTGGCACAGACTTGCAGCCTGCACCTGGGCTGCGTGCGCTCCGCGTGCGGCGCCTGAGTGGCGAGCCCGTTTGCGAGCTCCAGGTGCCGGTGAACTGGAGCGATGCTCGGCAGCAGATCCAGGAACTTCCGCGAGCTACGCAGTTGTTGCTCGCGAGTGGAGTTCTTAGGGCAGTTGAAGCTCTGAGGTAGCTCAGCTTCGTTCGGCTTTGGCCGAATCTTTGCCTGAGAGGGAGCAGCGCCTGATCTTCGAAGGCGCAGTCGCCGGATTTCAAGACTCTGTACTAATAGCAGAAGCTGCGCAGCTAATGACAGATCCACGTGTAGCAATAACGGAAAGCTTGCGTACTACTTTCGGATCACGATGCTGTATGTCCCTTCCGTGGTTTCCTGTGCCTTCCTCCACCTCTGCTCATTGGTGCATCTTCTGGCCCAAAAGAGCTCTCTTCACGGAGCCCATTTAGAGCTCGGCCATTCCGCGTTTATCATACAGTCTCTCCAGATTCCGCTGGTGCACATCCTGCCCCCACACAGTAGCTGTTACTTGTTTGGTCGAATTTGTGGCTGGATACTTGTAAACTCCTGCTGGTGCAATGTCTCGCATGGTATGATAGACGTAGCAAGAGGGCCGCCGACCAGCTGTTCTAAACAGCCATGCAGATGCAGAGTGTTGGCGCGTGCGCCAACGCCCCAATGGCACTGTTGCGAGTCCTCACTGACATGGACCTTTTCACGTCTTCCCTTGCCTTTGTGACTCCGATCTGCCTCGTGCGATTGGGTCGGGCATGCAGAGCGCTGCAGATCGCGAACTGTGAGCAGGTGCTTGGGTTTTTGGGCTCAGCTGCAAGCTCCAGCCGCTGGCGTGAACCATCCTTGATGCCTAAGGCAGGTGACAAGTGGAGCCTTGAGCGACTTCATCTCTGCTTTGCGCCACCGCAATTTCCGCTCATACATTTTGACTTCGCAAACGATGCTCTGGATGAAGAGGCAAGGCAAAGTTTGGAATGCTGAGATCTTGCGGAGGCATCCCGGCCTCGGACTGCTCGTGAGAGGCTACGCCCGCCCTGAAGCTCCGCCTGATTTGGGCATCGCACTTTCCCAGGCGCGGGCCGCGCGGGTGCGCTCCCATTTGCTTGGCCTCTTGGGCCCAGGTAGGTGGCAGGAGGATGCAACCGAAGGTCTCCGACAAGGTGGCTACAGTGAGGGATATCCAGATCTCGATCGTGTTCTGGAGTTCTATAGGCCACGTGTCGTTGGACGGAAGATTCGAGCCGTCGGCTGCTGGTCCGAAACTGACATGGTTTCGCGGCTAGCTGGCTTGGGCGGCGGACAGTCCGCTGAAATCGTCGTCGACGGCTTTCAAGAAAGTTCTTAAGGCATGCATACACAGTTCCAAAGTGTCTGTGCAGGCAATGCTAGGCTGTTAGGCAGGCTTTCGATCGCGACTTTTCTACGCGATGACAGAAATGCAAGACCGTCTCTGAAATTTCAAGATGCATTGAAGCTGTGGGTTGAACAGCTGAAGAGGCCGAGAGCTCAAGAGCAATGACTGCCTCGGCGAGCTCTCCCGTACCGATGAAGCAATCGAGCTGACGCTCGTCAGGCTGCCAGCAGTGCACGTTGTAGGTTCAGAATTTGTTAGTTGCACCGCTTACGCCTATGCTCCTTGTGGGGAAGGGCAGCTGGACAGGCACAGGCTCAGATTCCAATCTACTCGGTGTCCGGCTCTAGTACTCGTGCAAAGAGTAGCTTCGTAGGCATCGTGCATCGCGCAAGGATTCTTGTTGATGGGATTGGTTTCCGAAGCATCCGTGAGGCCAATGTGCATTGGGCAAGCCTTAGACGGTTTGAGCACATGCTCATGCAGTTGAAGACAACAGCGAGTAATTCGCCCGCTCAGCGAGTGCTACGCTGAGAGACGTCACCAGTGTGCGACAGGAGGCCTCCTTTGCAGGCGTCCTGGCTTGAACGTGTCGAGGTGGCGGTTGGAGCGCAGGTTTGGAGCCATGTCTAGACTTAGTAGCATGTTGCGCAGGCATCTGCCGACCAGCTACGAAAAGCTCCGAGAGCGATCCGCTCGGACCGAGAGGCAGAGGGAATCACACACACACACACACACACACACCGACCATATTTCTTTCACTCTGCTTCCTTTGTGCACCTCCGCGTGTCCTGCTTACCGTACTGACCAGGTTGTTCTGTGCTGCTTGGATGCCCTACGGTGGTGCGGTGTTTGCAGAGACCTCGGTCGATAGCCAGTCGTTTTCATCCTTGCAACGGTGTCAAGGTGCAGTGAGCCAGCGCGGAGATTTGCTGCAGGTGGCTTCGGAGGATGGGACGCATTTGTTTCAAGCTGATGCATTTGGGCTAGGGAGCCATCGGGCGCAGGCCCTGCAAGCAGACGAGGAGGTCGTGCTGGCTGCGCTGCGTTGGGACGCGCAGGTGGATGCCCAAGCACGGCCCTTGTCCAATCCCTTCAAAGCGTAGCAGTGCCCAGGCAGTGCCCAGTGACCCAGTGTTTGGGGCCAGGTCCTCGCCTTCGCTGCGCCGGCGCTGCTCGAAAACCGAAGCTTCGCGCTGCGCGCCGTGGCCTCCGACGGCCGCTCCCTGGAGTCGCGGAGCCTACAGAAAGGTGCCTTTTGACGACGACAGGACGTTCTTTATGATTTCAGGTTTCTGAGCGGCGCATTCAGAGACGACCGCGAGGCCAGGGCCGTGTCGTGGGTAAGAGAGGTTGCCTGACGTCTTCTTGGAGCTTCTTCGATTCCTCACCGGGCTGCCTTCATACGAAGCCGCTCGCAGAAATTCTGCTTGAAATGAAACCAGTCCATGAGTGCTGGCACACCTCGGGGGCCGCAAGAATGAGAGTGTGGACCAGCTCCGTTTGCACTTTGAACTTCAACTGTCCATCGCATACGGAGGCGCTAGGCCACGAGCCTCGCAAGCGGATTGGAAACCAGAAGGATGCACCGGTAAGGAATGCTATACCTTGCGTCGTAGGAGACCAGTGATGCTCAATCAATCTGGTGCCACACGTACACGTTGAAACACCCGGCAAGTTTCAGGACCCTGTGCAATTAGTGGAAGTTGCCGCTGCATGAAGGTTGTCCTTGCCGCTGTCAGCGGGAGCCTTGGAGTTGTCTGGATGTCTGGATAGCAGCACAGCCGGCTGAGGTGCGATCGGGATGTTAGAGAATGTTAGAGACGCAGAAGTCCACAACATGCGCATGTGGGTGACAGGACGAAGTTTCGTATCGCATGCGCCGACAACCCCACTCGACTCCGTACCACAATTTAGGTTCGGTGAACGACGAAATTATATTGATGGTGCCGGACAGTCTCTAGCTGTGTTCATGAAAATCCGACTTGATCGTCGTGGCTCCGAAGACAGTGTGGACGATCAACTAATCATACAGCGGTAGCAGCCGGCAGCAGATAGTCCACATATGCGTTGATGCCAGCCTCCTCCATGCACATGCAAAGTCGGCAGGCAGACCCTATGCCTGCGGGATGTCTGACATGCTTTGCCGGTGCTATTTCCAACACACTAATGCTGCCTTGGTCAGGGGCCAGTGTAGTCTTGACCCATCGCCATCGCGATTCGTGACACAACTCTCTTCGAGCTGCGCAATGTGAGGTCAATATGGCTTTATGCTTGAACACGCTGATGATGTTCTTCGGGCAGACAAGCAAGTGGTGCTGGCAACTGTGAGACAGACCGGCATTGCTCTACAGTGTGCCTCGGAGGAGAGATGCCGTGCAAGCGTCGCACGATACCTCTGACACGTGGTGGCCCTGAGCCGAGCAGGAGATGTGTGCAGACAGAGAGGTCGTCGTGGAGGCGGTCAGGCACCCAAGGGCCACGTCGCGGGCTGGAGTCGAAATTGAAGGGCTGCTGCGATGCAGGCAAAATGGATTGGCATTGGAGTTTGCGTGCGAGAAGCTCCGGGCTGATCGAGAGTTGGTCCGGACAGCGTGTTGTCAGGAAAGGGAGAGGGAGAGAGTGCCTGCGGGAGATGGCTTCAGATCCCATCGTCGCCTTCGCCTCTTTGATTGGATTATTCGTCAGGACGGCCTTGCGCTGGCACTGGCTTCCTCAGATTTGCGAGGCGATCGCGAGGCCAGGCGCGAAGCTGAGGTTTGAAGGTTGGAGTAAGGCGTTTGGCACATTTGGATAAATTTGGCAATAAGATCTTTTCCCGAGCTTCCCAACTCCTGACTGACACGAGGTGGTTCTGGAAGCTGTCCGCAGGCAAGGGAGGATGCTGGCAGCTGGTCCGCAAGCACAGGCCCAGAGCGGCTCCTTCTGGCGCTTTGCCCCGTGCGCTTTGTGCGCTTTGTGCGCTCTGCCCAAGGAGTTCGCAGCTGAAGAGCTGCAGGCAGACCGTGACCTGGTGCTCGCTGCCGTGAGGACTGGCCACACTGGGCAAAGCCCACTAAAGCCCCTTCCGCCTTCCTGCTTTTTGCTGTGAGAGGACCTCCGGCATGGCGTTGAGCTTCGCAGCGGCGCCGCTGCGTTTTGACCGCGCTGGGAACTCATCGGGGGGAGAAGGGTAGATTTCGCAAGGAGGGACACCAGTGGAACTTCTCAGAAACGTTGCATCAGCCGTGGTCACTATACGTGACTGGAATTGAGGAGATCGTGCTAATTGCCGTGGCGCAGAATGGCAACATGCTGGACTGCATACCGACGAAGCCAGTTTCGGCGGTTTTGATTAAGGCAGATTTCAGTTGCGAGGAGCAGGCGGCCCTGCCTCTCCGTGGCGACAAGGAGGCGCTGACAGCGGAATGCCATCGTCGGACGTGCAGTGACGTGTCATCCAGCTCCCTGCAGATTCTGGTCCACGTCGTTGCCCGAAAGTCGTAGGGCATGGCGGTAGTCAAAAGCCGGCAGCAGGTCGTCATGAGCGCCTTGAGATCTGCCGGCCGCGCCTTGCTTTATGCTGCCGTCGACCTGAAGGCTTGGTGTTCGGAGCGGAGCGATGCGGAGCGATGCGGAGCGAAGCGGAGTTGTGTGCAGCACTGAAGGCGGGGGTTGATGTCCTCCTTCAGCTTCTCGAGTGCCATGGCTCCGTCCTGAGCTGCTGCACTCTCCACTCCGACGAAGATGTGCAGAGCCTTGCCAGGCGCGGCTTGAGCTGTTCTGAAGCCCAGGATTGTGCGAAGTGTAGCTGTGGGCAAGGCACAACATCGAGAGAACCCTCGCCGAGGGTGCTGTCGAGCTGCGCGAGGTGCTTCGCAATCTCAGGGAAACCCAGCCTTGCTCTCACCTGCAAAATCTTGCAAATACTCTCCTCTGCCCTGATTCTAGTGGGTCTTGCCGTATCGCCTGTATCCCTTCGTTTGGCAGATGCAGCGATGTTGTCTGTCGTGTGAGGATGCAGAAGTGCTGATGGCGATGGTGAAGCAGCACAGCAGCGTGGCGCAGTCCGTAGCATAGGTTCCTATGTGGTCTTGCCAGCTACGCGAGGTAACATTCTTGCGTTTGCGTCGCCGAGCATGAGGGCACATAAAGAACTGGCGCCTGGCCCGCATGAGACTCTGTAGCTCATGCGACCTGGCCTTTCGTTGCACCGCGCAGGTGCTCTGTGCGGTGCGACAAAACGGCCTGGCCTTGAAGATGGCAGCTGAAGAGCTGCGGAACAACGCGGAAGTCGCAGCCTGGCCTGGACGAAAGGAGTTTTCTGAATCGTCTTTTACTGGTTCACTTGGAGAAGTGGCCTCCTGCTAATCATCAGGTCTGCGCAGCGGTCGCGCAGAACGGCTTGGCTTTGGAGCTCTTTGCCTGGACTTAGATTGAATCTCGGGGTCGGGGGAAGCTGAAGTAGCTGAGCCGAGGTTTGCCAGCGATGCTCTGCGGGCTGACCGAAAAACGGTGAAGTGCGCACTTCACCAGGATGGCCAGGCGGGGACTACTAAAGGGCCGGCCTAAGGGTCTTGAAGGGTCATCTCCTGGAGCAGGCGCTGCAATATGCGGCGGAGGTTCTCAGCATCCTGGCGGATTTGCTAGGTGCCATGTTCCAGCGGGCTGGCTCTCTGACTGCGGCTGCAAGGAAGAGATCATGAACTGGTCATGGCTGCTGTCGAGGAGGACTCCGCGAACACGATAGCCGCAGGTCTTGCAGTTGGTGTGGTCGATCAGTCGCCGGACAGATCAGCTTACGAGCTCATTTGTGTTGCTGTCACAACATGTGACCGCAATCCTGATGGTGACGACGTTGTCGTGGCCGTGCGAGGATGTTCTTGCCTCTCACTTCGCCGCACCCGTGCTACCCCAAGCCGGCAGTGACGAAGACCAGAGAGAAGCACGTGAGAGAATGTCTTTCAACATCTTTCAACTCCTAGGAGCTGCAAAGCGCTTTGCAGCTCATGGGCCGGGCACGGCCCTCGTGCCCTTCGCAGAGGCCCAGCATGGCCCAACACACACCGCACGCCCTGCAACTGAGCCGCTTTCCTTCGTCAGGTGTCCCGCGCCGCACTGGCACCGGCAGAAGCGTCGCAAAACTGAGCCCCGTGCTTCGTCGCTTCCAAAATGTCGGCATACGTTGGCAGCGTGCAAGCTCCGGGAGTCTGCCGAGTGTGTTTCTTCGCTGCGACTGACATACACTGAGCAGACTCAGTGCACTTCCCGCGCAGGGAGACGTCGCATTGTTCATTTCGAGGAGGTGCTAGAGCTTGGATGCAAAGTTATAAGTGCGTATCCCATCCTGCACATGTCCCGCTCACAGAGGCACGGAGTTCAGCATCAGAAGGTGGAGAAGGACGGAGTGCTCAATCTCTTCAACAGGCTCGTTCTCTTGATGTCAGTGCCACCCTTGCTCCGTAGGATGCACGGCCTGTGCAAGCGCAACTTTTGAAATCGAGGAGTCTTGACTTGGCTTTTTCTACCAAATGCTGATGCCTTTCTATGTCAAGTCAAGTCGCACGAGGAAGAAAGCTGATCCCAAGGATGTTGTGACCTTTGAGGTGTCCAAGGACTCCGCTTTGCTCGGTTGGGTGGGCACTGGGTATTACTTGATGTATCTGCGTGCAGAATCCAGTTCGTCAGCAGCATCAGGAAAAGCGCTCTAGCACAGCCACAGCTGGCCCAGGATACAGAGGTGTCGGACGAGCATGCCGAAGAGTTGACACGCCCCAGGACTAGCAGCAAGTCATGTACGAAAGCATCGACCATCGATCTGTTAGAGAAGTCGTCTTCAAGCCGAGGTCCAACAGGGCAAAAACCCTGCAAAGCCCGCGAACCGAGCCCGGCCCAAGAAGCTCGCCGCGTCTTCCAGGAGCAAGTGCCCATCGAGACCTGAATCGAACATGCCTGTAACGGCCTGGTCTGCAGGGGGTTTCTCAGTCCCGGGAACAAGGGTTAGCACTCCAAATGACAGGCCATCGCCGTTGGCAATGACCACGATGAGCTTGAGGAAGGCGAAGTGATCGATGGCGGCATGACAGACTCGGCTTGCCCGTACTTGGCCGCAAGATGACGCGTGGTGCGTTCAACGTATTGTGCTGTTCATGGCTTTCAATCCGCTGCCGCGTTCCTGCTGCCCAGGCCGCGTGGGAGCATCGCAGCCGAAGCCGAAGGGGAGGCATGCGACGCATCCGACTCTGACGGGGAGGCCGTACGAGTGCTCGGAACGGGGTCTTGCGGCTTATCGCAGAGTGCAGCGCAGGTTGTTGAGGCGGTTGAGGATTCCAGAGACTTGGAGGAAGGTGAGGTTGCCGAAGAGCTCGAAGAGCGCCTCGGCGCGTTTCTTCACGCATAGTGTGAGGCAGTGGGGCCCGGTTCTCTTTCAGGACTGCTTCAGCTCCCCTGGAGCCTGGAGAAGTGGAGGAGGCTGAGGCCGAGGCCGAAGAGAGCGACCAGCCCACGGAACCGGAGGAAAGTGAGGAGGAAGGGAGCCAGAGCGGCGAGGAGGAGGGCAAGGAGGGCAGTACAAAACAGTTGGCGGAGGAAAGTGGGGAGGTCACGGAAACAGAAGCGGCCTCTGTGTGCCTGGGCATTTGTATAAGTTGCGAGCTGGAAGCCTGGAGAATGCAGCATAATTCACCCGACATGATCTAAGGGCGGAGTCCTCTTCGGACGGTGAGTGCGAAGAGGCTGCCAAAGGCTCAACGCCTTCCAAGAGTGAGCAAGCCAAGGCGGCCAAGGGGTGGATCCAGGGCTTCAAAACACAGAACTTCTCTCCATCCAGGATCGGGGACTGTGCCCGCCCAACGAGCTGCCGTGTGAGTCACCAGCTTCTCGCCGAAGATCACCGAAAGCCCGGAATACATCACGGCGCCATGCAAAGCGACCTCGCAGTCCCAGCTCACGGCGTGGAAGTCGTGTTGCTTGCTCGCAAGATGCACTGGGAAGCGAAGTTTCTCACTTGCGGTTTTTCTTGCTGTTTTAGGTGCGTGTGGCTAATCGCAAGAGGCTACCGAGGCGGGCTCGTTTGCGTAGGGCCCGCATGTTGAGTGCATTGGATAGATGCGTGATTGCACGTGGCCTTGCAGGCGATCGGAGTGGGCCGGTACTCGCATCGAGCTCGGCCGCCGAACTCAACTTGTCTTTCTTATCTTCCAAATACAGAGATTTCCTTCGCGTTTTCACAACATAAAGAAGTGATCAAAGGCCTCTCCCCTCGTGGTCGCTCAAGCTCGAGCCGCAGCCGCAGGAGGACAAGGCGGACACGTCTGGGCAGGTGTGGATACTGCGTTGGCCACGTTCGTGTTCAGGTCTCGAAGGCGCGATTCCAGGGCTGCAAGACCGAACTTGAGGCAAGGGCAAAGCAAATGGGACGTGAGGCCAGGCTCTGCTTTGCTCCGCTGCTCCGCTTCACTCGTGGTTCGTCTCGCTCCAAACTTTTCAGCCCCCTGCAGGCCAGATCCCACAAATCCTGACCAGAAGCCGCTGAAGCGCTTGCTGGATCCCACCGCAAATGGAAAGAAGCGCCGGGAACTGTATGTCGGCAATCTCCCGCAACACAAGGCCCAGTCTCCCGAAGAGCTCTGAGATGCGTTGAGGGCGTAGTGTGGCTGTCATGGCCTGACCAGTCATTGCAGGTGGATGAGCCCATGCTGCGACAAGCCTTCAACCGCCTTTTCTTGGATCTTCCCAGTTTCGTGGAGAGATACCCAGACATTGTCGACGTCATACGTTCCCTCTACTTCCCGCCGAAGGGCGACGGGATGTTTGCATTTGTGGAGTTCGTGGACGATGTCCTCACAACGACTGCTATGCAGATGAGTGGCTTCGAGCTTCAGAACAGGTCCATCAAGATTGGACGGCCGCAGAGCTACGAACCGCCGCACGATGGAGAGCTGGCAGGCCTCGATGTTCAGCCTCTTCGTGAAAAGGGGCTCTTGCCTGCGGCACCTCTCGGAGAAGGGAAAGAGGGCAAGGAAGGGGTCGCGAATGTCCTTCGTGAAGTCTACTTCGGAAACCTGGCCACTGGGATGGTGGACGAGGAGGCACACAATGTGACATGCGTTTCTCGGCCCGTCTGACTGTGACGAAGCAGTCTTTCCAGGTCATGCGCGAACTGCTCCAGCCGGCAGCAGTTGAAGTCCCTGAATTCGACCCAGACTTGGGCCCAGCAATTGGCAAGGCGGGGAGGTCCGATGAGTGTCTTGAACAAGCCTGCCGCTGTGATCCTGCCTGGCAGGTCACCATTCCACATCCTGGGAACTATTGCTTCGTCTTGTTTCAGAGTGCTGCTGTTGCCACCCGCATGATCTCCATCTTTGACGAGACAGTTGCATGCTTGAAGAGAGCATCACATCCGTTCGATGGATGGCTGTTAGGCTACCACTTAATTCAGCACACAGCCCAGATGTGGTGCAGAGCCCTGTCGTTATGAAGCCGAGGAACTTTTCGGTCGCAAGATCCGAGTTGGACGTCCGAGTACCTGGGGCTGCAGAGAGCGCATGTCCATGGTCATGACATCTAGGACCCTCAAATCTGCAGTCGCAAGCAGCCTGATGCATCGCGCCTAAGAAGACGATGCTTGGAACCTGTGCTTTTTCTCAATTGAAAACAGACGCCGACGTCAAGGCAAGTACGCCGTCACCGTCAACGAAGCTCACGGCCAGCTCTCCTTACCCTTGCCGCCTCCGAGCCCTTCGGTCGCTCCACCGGCTCCGTCGGCTCTCCCGTTGGCTCCACATTTGCTCAAGGCACTGGGCTCAGGACTTGATGGGGGTTTCGGCTTCCAGTCGGCTCGATTTGGGGTTTGTGCTCCCAGGCTGCGAATGCTGAGCTGGTGGCTGAATTGGCATCAGGTCGCTGAGATTCTGGGGGCCTGGCATCATCTTGCAAGCGACACTTGAAAGAAGTCCGAGTTGGGCCCTGTTTCACCAAATCCATGAATTCAGAGAGAGTGTCTAGCATCTAGTTGGCTCCAAGAAGAGTCTACCAAGCAGCTGCGTGATCGCTCAGTAGTGGCTGCAATCAATGCAGTCATGGCTTCGAGATGCTGCAAGTAGTTTTCACGAGCCTCTCTTGTTAAGCTGCTCTTGCAGCGCGGCAAGGGCCCAAGTAAAATTCAGAGGTTTCTGCTGTCTCTTGGACAGAAGGGTATGCGCGGAGCACGGGAGCAGAGGTAGCGATCTTGAATGGCTAAGGTCCAGGAGGTCGAATGAATGGTAAGAGAACTGTTGCTGCCTCAATCATTCTATCACTCCTGGCTCCACATGAACGTCACAGCATTCAATAGAGCTGTGAAGTCGACTTGAGGGGAGAAATGGCGTTTAACCGGCGGTGCATGTGATAGGTGTTTCACACACCTGCTTGCGGAGAGGTGAATGATTCCTGCTATGAATATGTGGGCTCAGGTGGACTGGACTGAAACCCTCCAAGCCAGTCTTCGCTTTACCTGAAACTGGAAAGGGGCGGGAGATGCTTAACAATCGGATGAAGTTGTTTGCCTTGCTGTCAGTCCACTTGTATTGCGGTTGACCATTCAGTATTTCATTTCACAGCCCCAGTACTCGTGCGAGAGCCTTGACAGGTGACATGTGCACGAACGCTTGAGCCACCCAGTCAGAAGATACAGTACTGTAGAGTATAAATCTTGTTGGTGCTTTGCACGCCGGCCCTGTCTTGTCCGTAGCCTCCTGCATCAGATGCCATGTTCTTCACATCCGTCGGCTTCGCTTTCAGCTTGCTTTTTGCTCTCGCGCAGGGTCAACTTCTCACAGGCTCGAGTGTTGCCGACAGATCTCAGCGCCTTTGCTCTTTTTGCGCGGCAAGATTGCGTTGCAGGAGGCGTAGGTTCCGCCGAGGGCTGCGCCGTGACGCTGGACTCAGAGCCCGGCTTGCTGCACCTGCTTCAGGAGGGTTTCGGGAAAGGTCGGGCATGTTCGTGGCTTGGGCACAGAGGCGTAAGGCAGAAACGGGTTCGCAGACCTACTCTGGCAAGCCCCGCTTTGCAGCTTGGCAGGCGGCTGTTGCTCGTGGATCACCTGCCTCTAGGGCGAAGGCGGGTTCAGAATCGTCATAGAGGTTAAACATGCAGGATGGCATTCTGTGCGAGGAAAGGATGCATCAGCCAGTGATGACTGTTCTCCCGCCGGCGCTGATTCTCCCCTCTCTCTCGCTCTCTTTCCCTCTCCCTGCCTCTCTCTCGCTGTCTCGCTCTCTCTCTCTCTTTCCCGCTCCGTCTCTCCCCCTGTCTCGCTCTTTCTCCCGCTCCCTCTCTGTCTTTATGTGCGTGCACCGTGTCTTTGATTTTGGCCGTATCATCCGGTGTCTGTGTGGTTGCATATTTCCATGTTAGTGGTACGGTATGTCGAATCACCAAAGGGCCACTCATGCTACACCTCCTAAGTCAATGTCGGACTAATGACTATTGACCAGAGTCAATCTCAACAGGGTCTTCTTTTTCCTGCTGATTGTCCCAAGTCCCTTGGTCTGACTGGATAGTAGGCAGGGAGAGTGGGAACCTCGTTGATCCTTTCATGTGCGTCATGAAGTAGACGCCACGGACTTTTGGCTCCCCTAAGAGAGTCATGCCAAAATGCAAGTTGCTATTATGCACGCACGGCATATCAATATATCTGCCATATGCCATATACATACTCCTCTGTGTATATGTATATACATATTTATATCTAATATATATATATATATATATATATATGCACAAAGACATGTGCATTGCGGTTCAAAATGTGATTATGCTGCATCTCCGAGTCGAGACAGTACAAAGAGGTCCGTCATTCCATCGTTCGATGCGGTTTGTACAGTGCAGTATGGGAGAAGGAGGGATACTTTAGCACGTCGCTAGTTGCATGTGTGCAGGGTGGGTCTACGCATGCACATACACACAGTGGCAGACATATATACAATGTACATTTACACACCATCTTCATGCAAAGTCACATGATGAATAGGGTTCAGCATGAGGAAATGATGCTTGTGTGCCGCTTGCACACACACACACACACACACATATATATATATATATATACATATATATATATGTATATGGACACCCCCCCTCCATGACCCACCTCGGCATCTCTTCCATCGTCAAGACCGTCAAAACCTTCTCTTGGGAGGGATTCGTGTTTTGCATACTATGCCTGTACTCACAAGCAAGAAACATTTAAACATACCACGATACGACGACGGAAACCAACAAAAACCAAACATCCAGAACCTTTGTGAAGGGCCCGTAACTTCTGTTTTTTTTGGTGTTGCTAGTGTTTTTTTGGTTTCGCTTTAACGAAACCAGGTTTTTTTTGAATTAGATTTTGGTGGAAAACGAAAAAAACACAATTTTTGTTTGCTTTTGCTGGGTTTCTGGTGGAAAAAACCTTGATTTGTTTTGGATTTCTGTTGGGAAACCAAAAAACCATGGTTTCGTTGAGGCGAAACCCAGAAGACCAAAGAACACCTAAATAGGACAACCAGCCAATCTAAAAGTTCCGAGGCTGCCCTAAAGGTTTTGGATTTCGGGTTTTATCGTGATTATGCGGAAACCAAAAATCTACAAATCCAAAAATCCAAAACCTTTGTGAAAGGCCCGAAACTTTTTTATGTTACTTTTTTTTTGTGTTTGTTTGGTTTTGCTTTAACGAAGCCATGTTTTCCAAATGATGTTTGGTGGAAACTAATAAAACACAATGTGTTTTTAGTTTTTCTACTGGGTTTCGGGTGAAAGACAAAAAACCTTGTGTTTGGAGGGATTTCTGTTGGAAAGCCAAAAAAAGCATGGTTTCGTTGAGGCGAAACCCAAGAGACAAAAAACAATCATAGGACAACCAGAAAGTTTAAAAGTTCCGAGGCTGCCCTAAAGGCTTTGGATTTCGGGTTTTATCGTGATTACGCGGAAACCAAAAAACCAAAAATCCAAAACCTTTGCGAAAGGGCCCGAAACTTTTGTTTTTGTTTTTGTCTTTTTGGGTTTCGCTTTAACGAAGCCATGTTTTTTTTAACGTTTTTTGGTGGACAACAAAAAACAAAAGTTGTTTTTGGTTTTTCTGCTGGGTTTGAGGTGAAAAACCAAAAACCTTGTGTATCCGTCGGAGTGTCAATATTCGCATTAGCAATAAAATAAGCATTAGTATGTAAATTAGCATTCGTATTCATATTATTGTTAATACGAATATGATGATTAGTATTCGTGGGACCATTAGGATTCACAGTCGTATAAGTGTTGTCATTAATGTTAGTATTCGTCTTAGTATTAATATTAGTTTTAGCGTTACTATTAGTATTACTATGAGTATTACTAGTCGTAAGAGTATTAATATTCATATTAATACAAAGAATTGGTACTAGTATTATGTTTAATACTAATTTTAACATTAACCTTAAAAAGAATATTCATATCTTTATTCGTAGGAAGAGAAATCTTGGTATTGGTATTCGTACTAGTATTAGCTACTATAAACATTGGCGTGTGAGTAACCTAACAGCTTCACACGGAATAAGAATGTTTGCACATGTAACTCTCAGTACGATCTTAGGTAGGATGCACACATCGTTCTGTCTTGGTCCCGTCTTTGGGTTATGCCTATGATTATATGAACAGAATTATAAACAGAAAATGATAAACACAAACAATATCCGGCACGTTGAGCGATGTTGCGCAGGATGCAGACATCGTTCTGTCTTGGTCCCGTCTTTGGGTTATGCCTATCATTATATGAAGAGAATTCTAAACAGAAAATGTTGAACACAAACAATATCCGGAACATTTTTGCAGTATCCTAATACAAAATAGGAAGGCAATGAAGCTTGCCCAGATCCGCCAACCGGCGATGTCGCGCCGTCGTACCCGTGGTCATTACAGTGCATTCAGCTATTAATTATACACGATATATGTTAATATTGTTTATGTATGATTGTATTTAACCATAGTAGTTTCCTAAAGTCCTTACATGTTCTACCCTTTCATTGCTAGCCGAAGCACCTCGCAGTAGGTCTTGGGGGGGTGTGAGCATATATATATATATATATATATATATATATGTGTGTGTGTGTGTGTGTGTGTACGTACTTACATATATATATATATATATATATGTAATTATTTGTAGATAGTATAGACATGACGGCATAGGAACCCTAATCATGCACCAACAACGGGGAAATTGACATACATGTAGTCTTAGTTATGCTTTGGTTGTCTCTCCATCTCTCGACTGTCTCTTTTCTCAGGTGCTGCCTGTGCAAGATGCGAATGGCGCATCGGGCTCTACAGGCCTGAGGAAACTTATGGCTTCGGTCTGCAGTGATCCCAATCCCATTCCCGAGGACTCAGGCTTGATTCTCCAAATCAATGATCAGGTTGTGCGACGCAGTGCCGCTTTCGAACAGGGCTTCCTGAAGGGTCTAAGTTTAGGGCGTGTGAAACGAAACGCGACCTGATCACAGCCCGTCCAGAACCGTCGATGCTGGCCAGGGAACACAAGGCATCGGCTCGTAAGTGCTGTATACATCAGGTGAACGTTCCGAAGGCATTCCAGCCGGAAGGATCCCCATGGATGGAACACCGATACCAGCACTTGTAGCAACGAGAAGTTTATATGCACATATATACATATGTACAGCATCATGTTCTTGAAACCTTGCGTTGCACATGCCATCGCCGCACCACAGGATCACTTGGACAACGACTGTGAAAACGTGGAAGCCATTTGCCCGAAGTGCAACGAAACTTGGTGCATGTTTGATTCGTTTCCGGATTTAGAATTGCAGGTTACTATTCCAAAAGCTCAGCATAAGTTCAGCATTCCCAGTATTTCCAACAAGGACCTGCACATTGCCCACATCCTAGTC